ATCTATACAGTGGTGCTAATAATGGCATCCAATCTACCTCCTAAGATTTTTGTGAGAATTAAATAATATGACTGTCAGTAAGGTGCTTATTAACATCATATCTAGCAAATAGTATGTTACTACTGTTTTTATTGTTTTGGAGGGACTGAATTAAAGAGGTAAGGGTGGGGACATTCATGACATTGCAACTGAAGTAACAGGGAGGTTCGTGCTGGCCTGGAAGAAGTGAAAGCAGGAGGAAGATTAGAAACTAGAGAACAGGAGAAATTGGGGGATTAGAAATGTAGTGAGGGTAAAAAGTGGAGTTAGCTATAGAACAAAGAAAATTAAGTGTTTATGGTCAGCAAGTTACATCACAGAGTCTGAGATTCGAGAATGGAACATTTCCTGGTAGTGATAAGTGCTGACCTTTGGTGATGGTTGCTGGTATGAAGTGGGACACATTTAGTTTAAATCAACAGGTAACTGGAGTTCTTGTGGTATGCCAGATGCTGCCCTGCGTGCTGAGAAGTGTAGACTTTGGGCAAAGCATTACGGAAATAGAGGGGGTGAAAACTAGCTACGTGGCACTCACAGGAGGCAGTGGCCTGGACTGGCAGGACCTGGCCTGTCAGTGACGTCTGGGGCGCTTTTTTTTTTTTTTTTTTAATATTTATTTATTTATTCATACAGAACTGGGGTACAGGCCAGAGGCTCAGGGGCGGTGAGAGGCTTCACCAGAGACAGAGTGGGGAGCAGAACAGGCAGATCGACGAAGTACACTGCTGAGGGGAGCAGCGGGCGGGTCAGGAGAGGTCTGCCACGCCCTGTGGTCTCCTCCGGGGCAGGCGGCAGGCGGCAGGCGGGAATCGAACTCATGCGGAAGTGGCTTCAGATTCTCAGTGCTGCGCTTTAACCCGCTGCGCCACCAGGGAGGGCCTGGGACGCTTTTTATTATGACAAAAATGCTTGAGTGGATTGACTTGTGTTTTCATTGCTTTAAGATACTACCATAAATGGCTTTTTAAAATAGGTGCATCTCCCAGTGGGAATAAAATAATTAGTAACATTAATTTAGAATTTAAAAGATAGCTGTCCTAAATTTACCCACTTAGCTAGTCTTTTCCCCCTTCTTTCCTTTTTAGCCACTAGGTGTACAGATTCCATGATTAACCCAGTTCTTTTTAGCTTTAGAAGAATGTTCGCTGAGTGGCCTGTGCGCTTTCTGACTCTGAGTGAGCATCCTAGGGAAGGAATGTGTCTAAGGTCTAGCACAGTTGGGGCGAAAGGAGCAGTTTGTGTTGAGGCAGGATGCGTGTTCTTGGTGCCCTTCAGAGGAAAGCTGTAGGCTGTGAAGTCCAGTGACTGTGCTTTGTAGAAAAAGAAAGTGTAACATTGATTAAATGTTTATCTTAGAATGATTTATACCAGGTTGAATAGCAATACATGAATTCTATGCTGTTAACTTTAAACCATGCTGATTGTTTTGGGGTGCCTTCCGATCAGCGGATGGCACACATGTTTGGGTTGTGGACAGTGACTGCTGTCGGCGGGAGATCATATCATCCGAGACTTCCCAGTACCTACTTCGCTGGATAGCCACGGCGACGCTTCACACTCTTTCTTTTGTCCCACCCACAGGCCTTTCCCAAATTTCCATCAGACTTTTCTCTAACATGCCCTCATGCTACTCCCTCTGCTCCCTGCGCAGAGTTCCCATAGCACTTTCAAGCTGCAGTGATCGAGAGGAGCCCCCTCACCAGGGCTAACAAAAGTAGTGAACACATGCTTTGAGACAGCTGGGCCTCTCCCACTTGGGCCAACTGCTTCTGTGGTCTTGGCTTACTTCATTTATGTAGTTTTCAAAATGTGACTCCTCCTCCTCTTCCTCTTTCTCCTCCTCCTCTCTCTCAATCCCACCTCCCTGCTCATCTCACTTATGTAGTCTTAAAATATCTGAACAATCGGCTGTCATCTGACAACCCCCATCCCTGCCTTTCTGGAAACACATCATCAGCTAGTTAGCAATCCAGTTCTCAAGCCTCACCAAAATCTATTGAACCTGAATCTGTGGGGTGGGAACAAATTTTAACTGCATACATTTCCTTGAAATCTCTGAAAATACATTTCTGCTAAGCTCAGTGCATTGATTGCAAATATGAAATGGCCATTCTTACTGGTCAATAATTGTAGTGTTTCTTAGACATTGACATTTGTTGTGGGTGGCTGTGGGTGTGCTGTAGGCTGTTTAGCAGCATCACCACATAATACCTACTGGATGAGAGCAGCACCCCTTAAGTTGTGACGTGTGTCTCTGGTGTTGTCATATGTGTCCTGGAGGAGATGGGGTCCCTTTCCGCTGGGAACCACTACCTAACCCATTTGCTTCCTTCTAAGTCATAATTCCTGGTGCATTACATTTATCTATTTTTCTTCCTGGATGGAGAAGGGCCAGACATAAATTGATTGTAGAAATTTAATCTAAAATTTACATTTGGTAGAGATCATGGTGATTACAACTTACATCCACGTTTGAAAAATAATTTGTCATCATGTCCTATTTAAAAGTTGTGTCACCTACAGACTATTATTTACTTTTCTGATCTCTTATTACTGTTCTGAAAGTATGATGATGTTCTGCTTGGATTTTTTAATTATTGCTAAGTAATTTGTTCCCTTTGCTTGAAGGCCTAAGGATTTTTCTTTAATGTCCAATACTATATCTCAGTGTTAGTTATGTTGTACTTATTTTATCAGGTATATGATGTATTCTTTTGAATTTTTTTTCTGACTTTACTTTTTAATAACTTAAATTTTTTTTCCCTTGCTTTGGTTTTCTCCTTTAGTGACTCCTATTACAAGTATGTTGGATCTTTTTTGTCTGTCTTATATGTATCTTTTTTCTCAAATTCTTTTTACTTTCTATCAAAACTATGGTGGAGGATGATGGGTGCTTGGGTGATGGGTTTTGTGTGGTAACACACATTTGAAGAAGTGTGAACCTGTATCCCTAAATCATTCGTAGTGTTACCTCAACCATTAAAAAACCTTGTCTTATTTTATATTTTAAAAGCTTTCCTTCACCTTTTATTTTCTCAAGGCATTATCTATATTCATTTATATTTGTATTCTTTGTAGCACCATCTTTTCTGAAATATTTTTTTTCTTTTAAAAAAATTTATTTATGCATACAAGAATCTGGGTACAGACCAGAGGTGCAGGGGCAGTGAGAGGATTCACCAGAGACAGAGTGGGGAACAGAGCAGGAGATTTTTTTTTTTTTAAAGATTTATTTATTTATTTGTACAGAACTGGGGTACAGGCCAGAGATGCAGAGGGTGAGAGGATTCACCAGAGACAGAGCAGGGAGCAGAACAGGCCGATCAATGAAGTACACTGCTGAGGGGAGCAGCGGGCGGGTCAGGAGAGGTCTGCCACGCCATGTGGTCACCTCCCGGGCAGGCGGGGATCGAACTCATGCGGAAGTGGCCTTAGCTTCTCAGTGCAGTGCTTTAACCCGCTGCGCCACCAGGGAGGGCCGGAAGATTTTTTTTTTTAATAACAGTTTATTTTTACATCATTTTGTGTACTTTTTTTTTTTTCTTCCATCTCCATTGTAATCCCCACGGGTTTCCTAACACCAAGTCACCCATGTGCCATCGCCATAATCCCGTGCACTTCCCTCTCCACCCCCCCATTTTTGATCCCATTCCACCCCCACAAAATGTCTCTGGTATATGGCTGTTCATTATTCTTGTTATTTTCTCACCTGGTCCATTACACTCCCAGAGCAGGAAGATTTTTGAAGTATACTGCTGAGGGGAGCAGCGAGGAGACAGAAGAGGTCTTTTGCACCATGTGGGTCACCTTCCTGGCAGGGGGTCAAACTCTCACCGAAGCAGTTGCTGCTAGCTTCATAGTGCTGCATTTTAATACATTGAACCACCAGGGAGGGCCCTGATATATTTCTTTTATTTTTTTTTCCCTGTGTTACATCACCTTTTTCCTAAGTCTGTCACATTCTTTCTGAGTTTTCTTAAGTATATTTCTTCTGGATTTTCCATATCTTATACATTTAATTATTATTATTTTTGCTTGTTGAGAAATAGTAGATTTTAGTTGTTTTCTAGGTAAGTCTGTCTTTCATCATTGTAGGGATATTAATTCACTCATTATTTCTTTTAATAAGTATATGCAGAATTAGATTTTGACCCATATGTAGTTCCCATTTTTATGTGTAGTTTGTTTCATAAACCTTGAAGAAGGTATAGGTCATGATGCCTTATCTGATTTCTTGGTTCTAGAGCTGTCCCCTTATAGCATTCAAATGGAATGCCTTAGTTTCTGGAGTTTCTCGGTTCTATTTCTTTGTAGTATCCTTTTGTTTGGACTTTTTCTTTCCTTTGTAGTCTGTAGGACTTTACAGTATAAATATGATTATTTTGATAAGGCTTTAAAAACCTAATAAGTGTTGTGTCAAAAAGGTACAATGTAGTCTACCCGGTGACCTTTAAGAATATTGAGATTATCTTTAAGAAGTTTCTGGTAAATCAGAGTCAGCCTAGAGCAACAGGTAATTCCATTGTACCAGAAGAAAATTATCCTATAATTCTGTAGTTGATCTTTTCACCCCTATTGTTAAAATAAGTAACATTTCACCATAGTGAAAGTTTCCCATGTATATTTTTATTAAGTATAGCAGATTGCTCCACCACAAGAAGGAAGGTACAGTTTTAAAGTAAGCATGTAATAATAATCTTAAGACTGTTAGACTTGAGACATGCATGTAGAGTATTTTATTTTAGTATGAGCATAATTAATATCTTTAAAATCTTTACTATACTCTTTCTTAAGGAATTCTGGTTTTGGTTTTATTTTTGTACCTAAGTGATGTGCTTGAAAGTTAAAATTTTGTCATAAGTCTAAGTGTTTATCCATAAAAAGTCATTTTTAAATAAATAATTGTAAACCAGGAATTCAACTTTCATTTACAGCTTTTACATTTGTGTTTCCTTTATAAGTGCTGGTCAAGATATCCAAGGAACAAGTGTGATTGCAAACCTTCCATTTCTGATGCGACAGAATCCTGCTGAAACACTAAGGAGAGTCTTGCCAAAAGTCAGAGTAAGTCATTGTAAAATAAGATTTGAATTTCTCATTTTCCTTGGCAATGTGTTACCATTGTCAGCAGAAAATTTTAGAGCTTTTGATGGCTGAGCTTTGTACCTAATCATCGAGTGGAGGCAATGTTATGTTATATATTTTGAAGTATGAGGAAATTAGTTACAGAATTTAGCTGATAGAAATGGAGAAATAGAGATCTTAAGTTATGAAGATACTTTCATTTTCTCAGTAGAAGTATTTTAATAGTTAGCTTTTTAGCAGCTAAAATTCTTAATTATTCACATAAAATCATATTTGGTAATTCTGCTGACCTAATTTGGGGTACCTCTAAAACCCTGATAATATGTTTTAACTGGTATTCCTAATGATTCCTGATAATGATTGTGGTGACTTCTGAAGAATCATTAAATAAAGATTGAATTACGGTTATCACAATTTTAGTTTTATACTAATTTTGTGCTTTCTAAAATCCTTCAAAATTAGTTTTCCTGCTAGAAACAAATATTTGGTCTACTAGAAAGTTCTTTCCTCTATTACATATATTATTAGCATAAATTACTAAATATTTAATGACTTATTTCTTTGCAAATTAGGTGTGCAAAACCTGTATGCAAAATATAGTTTCTCCTCAGGGAGCTTATAATGGTGCCAGGGGAAGTTACATTCTAGTGGGGATCATGTTTGACCATGGTGAGTTCCCCATATTTTGTTTTGGCTTTCCCTTTGGTTGTAACTTTTTCATAAATTTGTGTTTAAAGTGGTTGAATAGTTCTTCCTTGGGTTTTAATTTTGGGGATCTATCCCATGGCTCCAGTTACTATGCTTTAGAGCAGAGATGTAACAGGCAATCTTCACAAGCTGCCCACATTCCTGTATAAGCATTATGAATTTTTTTACAGGCTACAATGGTATATTGAGAAGATGTTCATTTCAGCATAATATGTGATTCAAAAGTGAATCAGCTTTTCATATCTGTTTTTTGCAGACATATGTCATAATCCAGTGGAATTAAGTCTTCACAGATCAGGTTTAATTTCCTATTCAACTTTGGCGACATTTATTGACCTGAGTTGGTTGGCATGACTCTTGGGTGTACCAGTTAAACAATAGGGAAGGAAACAGGTGCTTAGTCCTGTTGACTTAAGAGTTATTGTATATTAGTGACTTAAATTAAAAATGGAGCATACTATCCATCTATGCCAAGCAGGCTAAATCTAGTCCAGACAGAAGAATGAATAATTCTCATAGCAAGAATAAAAGATAGAGAGACAGTAGTGACTCTTCAAAGGTCTCTGAACTATTTTGAAAAATCCTTTTCTAGTGAGTTCAGAATAAAGCCAGTTAAATAACAATACTTAAAATGTTAATTTTATGGGAATATCTATAAAGAATAGCATACTCATCTCTATGGTATATTTATATAAAGACTCAAATGTATAAGTTGAAACAATATAACTGAGTTAGAGAAGGTAGGATTTTAATGAGTCTTTAAAGTTAATCCATAAATGCAAAGATTAACAGAGTCAATGGATATAAAGAAAACACATGTTAAAGAGTATGTACTAAAAAGACCTTCATTGTTGCTGAGTGATTTCATACATTTCTCTAGCTAGTCAACACTCATTTATTTAGGACTCTCATTTTCCTTGCCAGGTACTAAGAAAGATAGGAAAGTGTGGACGATAGTCCCAGATTAGATTTGTCATCGAGGTGTATGTAAAACTGCTAAAGAACAAGAATCCCAGAGAATTCAATGATGCTATTCTGGCATTATATAATTATTCTGCTGAATAGTTAAGCAAAGAGGAAAGGCTTTATGGGGGCAATAAAAGCGACTTCTATCAGGATTTAATATATAATGAACCTTGTTTAAAATTGTAAAACCTACGTTTTTGTGCAAATCATTTTTTAATCATTGCACTCAGGCATTCAGGTAGACTGGCGCTCTTGTTTGGCAGCCTCTTGAATTCAGCCTTGCTTTGCAAGTGGTTGCTTTCAGTGATCAAACCATGACAAAAATTTCACATAGCCACTTTATTCACTTTTGCCATGGCCATAATTTTTTAATTAATTCTGTAAAACAGCATGTCAAAGTGAGCATTTAATAACAGTGGTGTTCTCATTCATTCATAAATACTGAGTGGCAGGTACTGCTTAGGCACTGAGAAAATAGGGGGGTTGAAACAGAACTTGCCTTTAAGCAGGTACAGTACAGAGGCGGAAACCAGCGAAGGGGAGGGGTACTGGGCTTTGGGAGGTCAATGAACACCTCTCTGAGAAGCCTAAAACTGCAGGGAATGGACCATGTAGCCACTTGAAGAGTCAGGAATGAGTAGTCCAGGCAGAAGGGCTGCAGAGAGCCCTAGCTTTGCTCAGCGTTTGAGAGATTATGGGTGGAATCCAGTGGAGAGCACAAGGTGTGATTTCGAAAAAGGTTAGAGACAGGTCAGTGTGAGAGCTTGCCGGGGCAGTTGGTCTTTCGTGGGACACTGGCGCCCACGCAGTCTCTAAGCAGAGCAGTGACTTACCCATTTCCATTTCACCGTAATCATTTGGATAATTGCGTGGAGAGTGGACTGGAGTGAGACGGGTCTACAGCAGGCCTTGTGTTATTTGATGGTTGGCTTAAGAGAGGACAGCAGGGCAAGAGAGATGTTTATCGAGGGAGAGTGAGCAGAACTTGGAAGCAGCTGGGATTTGGGAAGTAAGAATGACTCCTGTTTCTGGCTGTGACATCCATCTGGTTCTGCTGGGTCTGGGTATCTTAGTTGTCAGCTTATTAATCTATGGGACAATAGTTACAATAGTATTTACTAATATGAATCTTCTGGTAATGATGTACTTTTAGAGAATTTGAAGATATGAGCAGTAAATATTTTTGTTGTAAATATTTTGTAAGATGTTAATAATTTTCGAGTCTCACCGTGTTTTTAAGAGCAAAAGCAGCATTTAGAATGCATCCTTTATCTTTAAGAATATCAGATAAAGTGATGATGGAGGTTTTGCTAGTTATGTGTTTATTTGTCTAACACACTTGCGAATAAAAATTTTTTTTTAATAGGTTGCTATTTTCACTGTTTTAGATTTGAAGGAATTCAAGGGCTAAAAATAAAGTGTCACAGTCAGAATTAGAAGTGAGGTAATCCATAGTACTTCCACGAGTTACTAAGTTGTGTCCAGAGTAAAAAGACTGGCAGTGAATTAAAATTTAAATAAGAACCCAGAAAGGAAATATTTTGACCTGTAATTTAAATTCCCTAGATATGGAGACATTTTTAAATATAGTTGTTATAACATACCTGGATTATATGATTTAATCCTAGGGTATGTTTAAAGAATAATTTAAAAAAAAATTTTATTGATTGAATTCTCTCTCACTTATTTTAAATTGAAAATTTAGATGTTAGATTTAATATTTGACTTGGACATTACATAGATGTGAAAAAAATTTTGTCAAGATAAATTTCTAAAATACTATAATCCTTTACAAAATATAGTAATGGGATATTATACATACAGTATACACAAACATAACATTGCTATTGTATATGCACTTATACATACATACATATACATACATACAAACATGCATATACATATATAATAGCAGTGATACTACAGCACATTACATCAGTGTCTCCCTTATAAAGAGGTGCAAAAGTATCTGTTGAGTCATTGAATACTTGTGTTTTTTCCCTTATTTTGGAGCAAAATTTATGACATCAAATCATACAATAGAAAATGTGAATAAATAAAAAACAACTGCAGTATAAAGTTACCGAGGTCTAATGGTGTGTCAGGAGCCACGTGCTGTCAAATGCATGACACACTTTTGTCTCTATAAGTGTCCCCTGAGAAGAAAACAGCTTCAGTTAAATTATCTTTGCCAAATCAGACAACTGGTCTTGTTAGGCTTGAACAGGAAGTCTTGAGTCTGAAGTCCTCCCTCTCCACTACCACACAGCCTCTTCACTCACCCGTTGTATCCACAGCAGATCATGTTGCCATCAGTGCTCTGTGGTGACTGACTTTAGCAGCCTCCTAACTGGGCCTGTTGCTTCCTCCACTCTGTCCCGCAACCTCCTCACCACAAGTGCACTCAGCCAGATTTCTGATCTTTTATTTACTGAGGAACAATCTACAGTTTTTTTTTGAGAATTAAAATGGTATGTATTTGTAGTACTAGCTCAACATGATATGTGTATACATTGTGAAAGATTGCCAGAGTCAGGTAACTAATACATCCCTCATTTTACTGTTACTTTTTTTTCTTCTGAGAGGACTTTTTAAAATCATCAATCATATCTTACCATTTTCCTGCATGAAAATTATTGTAGTCAGCAGAATAATGACCACCAAATGGTATTATCCATGGACCCTATTATCTTCTTTAGAAAAAGGACTTTTACAGATGCACTTAAATTAAGGACTTTAAGGCAGGTAGATTATCCTCCATTGCCTGGGCTGGCCGTAAGTGCCATCACGTGTGTCCTCATTAGAGGAAAGCAGTGAAAGGTGTGCCGTGGACACGAAAGCTCCGACTCAGTGAAGATGGAGCCAAGACTGGGCGGTGCAGCCGCCCCCAAGGCCGCGGCCGCGGGAAGGCGTAGTGGTTCTGGCCCCGCCTCTCGGGAGAGGGTGGCTTTCTGGTAATTCATTTCTGTTAGGTGGGATTGATTAAGACTCCTGGCCTTCGGAACTGTGAGTTAATACATTTCTGTTACCTTAAGTCACTCAGTTTGTGGTAATTTTTTACCACAGGAAACTGGAGCCAACGACTTCCACTTGAGATGAAGCGAAGCTCCTCATGTAGCTCCGAGAGCCCCAGAGGCTCTCTGCCCTGCTCACGCTCGGCTCTTCTGTGAGAGCTCTGTGCTATTAGTCTAGCTCATCACGGTAGCCCCAGAACCTGGAACAGTGCTTGAAAATGAGAGCCACTCCAGAGTGATGTTTCGTGTGAGCATTGATTGATGTTATGTTCTGAGACAACAGCAGCTGCC